CAAGATAACAGGACTTAATAACTACAGACCTGTGGCCCTAACGTCTGTGGCCGTGAAATCATTTGAGAGGTTGGTGTTGGCTTATCTGAAGGACATTACTGGACCCTTACTAGACCCCCTGCAGTTTGCTTACCAAGCAAACAGGTCCGTGGATGATGCAGTCAATATGGGACTGCACTTCATCCTGCAACATCTGGACAAAACAGGGACTTATGTGAGGATCCTGTTTGTGGACTTTAGCTCCGCTTTCAACACCATCATCCCAACACTCCTCCAGACCAAACTAACCCAGCTCTCTGTCCCTAGCTCTATCTGTCAATGGATCACCAGCTTTCTGACAGATAGGCAACAGCTAGTGAGAATTGGTAAATTCACATCCAACAACCGCACCACCAGCACTGGCACCCCTCAGGGTTGCGTCCTCTCCCCACTGCTCTTCTCCCTCTACACCAACGACTGCACCTCTAAAGACCCCTCTGTCAAGCTCCTGAAGTTTGCAGATGACACTACAGTCATCGGTCTCATCAAGGATGGAGACGAGTCTGCTTACAGACAGGAGGTTAAAGAGCTGGCTGTCTGGTGCAGTCTTAACAACTTGGAGCTGAACACCCTCAAAACTGTGGAGATGATCGTGGACTTCAGGAGGAACCCCCCTGCACTCCCCCCACTCACCATCATGGATAGCACTGTAACGACAGTGGAGTCATTCAGGTTCCTGGGCACCACCATCTCTCAGGACCTGAAGTGGGACACTCACATTGACTCCACTGTTAAAAAGGCCCAGCAGAGGTTGTACTTCCTTCGCCAGCTGAGGAAATTCAACCTGCCACAGGAGCTGCTGAAACAGTTCTACTCAGCCGTCATCGAGTCTGTTCTGTGCACTTCAATAACTGTCTGGTTTGGTTCAGCTACAAAATCAGACATCAGAAGACTACAGAGAACGGTTCGGACTGCTGAAAGGATTATTGGTGCCCCCCTGCCTACCCTCCAAGAACTGTATACATCCAGAGTGAGGAAAAGGGCTCAGAAAATCACTCTGGATCCATCACATCCAAGCCATCTCCTTTTTGAACTTTTGCCATCTGGTCGGCGTTACAGAGCACCGAATACCAGGACAGCCAGGCACAAGAACAGTTTCTTTCCCCAGGCAATCTACCTCATGAACAGTTAATGTTCTCCCATTGTGCAATTAAAGTATGTGCAATAACCTTATACTTATTTATCACCCTAAATCCTAGTACATCCCTACAACTTTATTTTATTTTATTCTATTCCTATTCTATCTATAGCACACCTGTACATACAATTTATTCTTTTTTTTGTGGTTTATATTTATGCATGTGTATTTTATTCACATCTCATTTTTATTATCTGTGTGTTGTTGTTGTCTCCGTGTACTGGAAGCTTGTGACACTATAACAAATTCCTTGTATGTGCAAACATACTTGGCAATAAACCTCTTTCTGATTCTGATTAAACTCATCGGCTATATAATTATAAAAAAATGCATTTTACGGTGAACGCAGTAGACAGGCTATGCACACGTGACGTGCCATTCCCGCATCCTCACACCTCATGTTTGTGGCTGAATGCAAATGATCATAATTGATGGACAACTATGCCCGTGAAAACACATCAGCAATCCGGCGCCGAGAAAAGAAAAGGAAAAAAAGATCAAGATGAAGCCCGTGCATCACTTTCAGGTACATTCATAATCCTGTGAAACTTTTTTGGCTGTTGACATTAATAACGTGTTTTAATGTCGGTAATAATTTAACCACCAACAACGCATCTAATATTCTCTCTGAGTTTCCATGTTCCCTTACGAACATTAGCCATGGTTTTACTACGAATAAAACCAAAAATCATGGTTCTTGTAGCCATGGTAACCACAACTTAACCATGGTTGTGTTCCTTCAAAATAACAGTTTACAAAGAAGTATTAAGATATTTTTTGTGGTTATAAAAACAGACCTAAGCCAACAACAGCCTTTAAAATTACTTAAAATGCATAATATAAAAACAATGAGGCAATAATGATTGGTTAATTTATAATTATATGGTTTCATTGAATAACACTGTTAAAATACATAATGTAATACAGACGTGACGTCTCCGTTCCCTCCTTCAGGGAACGAGGGTTCCCATACGTAACCGAGACGTTCCCTCACCACAGTGCAACACCACTTTCAAACAGTGTTGCGTTCCGAACGTTGTTTAAGCGACATACACCGGTATTGCGGTATTTTAAAAATTCATATCATAACAAAAATAAACACCGGTAGTCGGTATGAACCGGTATACCGCCCAGCACTAATTCAGATCATCAGCTCCATCAATGAACTGTGTTACAATTATACACTAGACAGACAGATATATTTCACATAGCTACGAGAAGCATTAAACATGGACAAGCACGCGGTTGCCGTGGTAGCGAGCAATACTTGCTGCCAAACACTTGCTGCCAAACACTGTTACAAAAATGCTACAACGCAATCATGTATTCTGCATTGTATATATATATATATATATATATATTCATTACATATTATTGCAAATGCCTGTAAAGGGCGCCAAAGGCCTGGTAATTGCTGCTGTTACACATACATGACGATCAAATCCTTGTTAAATATCGACCGAATAATTTAGGCTAATTCAAATATCCACTTAATCTTTCATTTTTGGCCACCTTTTTGTGATAAAATGCTACAGCCTCTATGATTTCTTCAACAAAAACATGTGGACATCACAACCCTTACAAAAATTAACTATGGTTTTATCGTAGTAAAACTGCTTAATTTTATTTTGCGTGATTTCTGAATGCTTGAGACTATAAAATCAATCAGACAACTGTATTAATAAAATCATAGCCCTAGGTAACTGTCTAGAGCTACAATTGTAATTT